AAGAGACATCATGGAGTGTAAAATGGCAACAGGAGGAAGACAAAGCCCGTAGATGAAGAAATGGCTAGGTGGTGAAGATAAAAAGCAGTTAAGGTATGGGGAGTGGTCCATATACTGGCACCAATGATCTCTTTCGACAGATCTTGGAAATGAGGAGCCAGAGACATAAGATGGTAAGATACATGTAAAAGATGACAATAATCAGGAGAAAGGTCATGGGACTGGGAAGGAATAAATAATCGGGAATGTGAACCATGGAATGAATCAGTGCATAGCATGTAACAATGAAGTGCCCTGACTGGATAAATGAGCCGATTAGGATTGGAACGGTCATAAACATGTAATATAGAAGGAAGGGAGGTAGGTGTAAAGAGGGAATTACCCTACTGAGCGACTGATGTTTTCTGCAGAAAAGAATGATCAGGGAAAAAGACCATATAGGAACTGTGAAACAAGCTGCAGTGGACATCAATCATGAACACATCCAAAAGACGATGTCCACATGCCAACCCAAGGAGGAAAAGGATCTTCAAGGAGAGGTTATATAAAGAACAGGTTGACAAGGGTTCTAAAGAAGTAAGGGCATGAAGGATGATATTGAGGTTCCAATCCAGGAGAAAGGTAGAGTAAGGAGGACAGGTGATGCAAAGGAAATGCATCAAAAGGGACAGGACCAGCAAACTAAAGACACAGGCATACTGTGCAGAATGAAACATGGCTGACATAGCTGAACAATAGCCCACGACGGAGAAGACCACAAGGCTCTTGTCTAAGAGCCAGATGAGAAAGGAAGTGACATATGGAAGGATCGGATGGAAAAGAGGATAACCACAATGTATGGGTCAACGGTGGTAGATGTACCAGCTTCTTTGGTACACTTCCATGGAGGAAAGACGTATGGAATGGGAAATCAAGGATGCCAAATGCTGTGAAAATCCAGTTCAAAAGCCACTCATGAAGCCTGAGTATGGGAATAGATGAATGACTCATGACAAATTGGGGCATTACTATACAGTATCTAGCATTTCCAATTAGAACTTAAACAGTTGGATGCAAAGTATAAGTGCAATGGACTCAGGGGTAGTCTAATTATTGTGTCAATAGCCAAATATTCAAGTGTCACCTGTACTGGTTTGAACTGACAAACTTTTTCATCAGAGTTGTGTGTGGTTGTATATATACAATTTTTCAAATAAACTGTATTACATCAAAAGCATACAGGCAATCACTTAGCACTGCATAGCTCTGACGAAATTATAACATAACCTACAATTTATGTCAAATTATACATCCTAGAAATCTTTAATTATTCACTTTGTCCATTTCATATTAAAATAGGCTACTTCATACCTGGATTTAGTTAAGAATCCACAACATTTTCAAACATACTATTTTTAGGTTTGAGTATTACTTTGGAACTTTTTAGACATTTTTTGTGAAGAATGAATGAATGTAGACTGTTTTTTTTTTTTCATTAAATAGTCATAAAATTCAGTAAATGACTGTTTAAGGTGTGTTTTAATGATTATTACTGTACCTTAATTGTCTCTACAATCGAACCTGTGTTGCTCACCATACACAGATGGAACTTTCAAAAGAGTTTGTCAGCAGGAGAAAACATGTTACAATACTGAGCACGTCAAGTAGGCCTACTACATTCATGATTCAACGTAGCTGACAGTTTGTTGTATATTTCATAGAACTGGGACATTTTGAGCATCCTGAGAAATTTTATCAGGACACTGGGACAAACTACCAAAAAAAGGTACTGTCCTGGTTTTGCCAGGACATCTGGCCACCATAATTTAACTCTATCAGTAGGACTAAAAAGTATATCCCCCATAAACATGCCCTATTCAGCCCAATGCAAAGACAATTTCCTTTGATATTTCAAAAAACACTAAAATAGATTCAGCAAATTACATCCATAACATAAATATAAACACACACACACACACCTGAGTTGGCTTTGTTTTGGGGATGAAACAAGAGATCTGAAACACTTAAAACTCAATATCAAATATTACACTATCTAACACAGGAATCTCACATAACAAACATCTTGAAATAGCACTTGAAAACAACCTAAAAAATGTCCTAAAATCTACACAAAATGTCATGTGGGAATGAAGTACAAAGTTGGTCATAAATTAAAAACACAGAACACCATTTCTGCTTTATGTCAAATGAGATGGTAACATTTGAAGAAGTTATCCTAAAAGTAAAAAGGGAATTAGGCATGCATGCATTTGTAATTTTGACAACAGTTTGTGAGAGGAGTGATATTTTGTATAATGTTAGTAAGGAGTAAAAAATAATTATGTTACCATATACATAATTAGTGGGTGCAAAATTAGAGAATTATTCTGTATTATAACACAAAAAAACTGCAATGCTTCTCTATTGCATTGTAGGTTATGCATAACTCCCTTTTTACTTTTAGAATAGCTTCTGTGTTTCCAAGTTACAACCAACTTTTTACTGCATTTTCACAAGTTATTTCATGTAGATTATGCAACTTTGTATTTGCTAATGTCCAACTGTTAAATGCTGGTATACGTTATGTGCAAATGCTGTTTCAAGATGTCTGTCATGCGACTCACATGTCAAACAGTGTCATACTTAATATTGAGGTTAACAGGTTTCAGACTTCTTGTTTCATCATGAAAAATCAGATGTGTAAGTTCATATTTGTGTTAGCAATGGATATTTTTTGTTGAATTTACTTTAATGTTCCTGAAATATCACAGTACATTGTATTTGCAATGAACTGTCACACATCTTATCAGCCCTACTAGTACTAGCAGAGCTCATGCATGTCACGCCAGGTAAATGCAACTTCACAATGCTTCTCGGAAACTAGGTGACTTGGAATTTGAACTGTCTGGTACAAGAACTCAAAGTATATAGTCTAGAAATTGGTCTTGACAAAAATAGTCTGAGAAGGGCCATCTAGAGCAATCTTCCGGTATGAGTACTGTAAGTACACACACTGTGTTTGTTACTGTCTTAAGTTCTGTAGTATATAATAGAATTCAGATGAACTGAATGGAATATATATTTGTGGTATTGGATAAGTCGGGTAAATAATAGGAGATTCGTTTCAGATATCGATAACCAAAATTTATTTATTTATTAATACTATTAGTGTTAGTATTACTTAATGAGTCGGTGTTAAATAGAATAATGAGGTGGATGCAAATATACAACAGAATGCATAATCTGTATTAGACGATTAAAGTTTAACTTAATTTAAACATACTATTAGTATTACTAATAAATAAATAATATTATTAATACCTAATAAGAAGTCGATAGGCCTAAAATATATAGTCTGCTTAATCATGATAATAACATAAATTTGAAAGTAAGGCTATACATTACCGAAAAACAGCAAGACATGTTGCCGGGTGACTGTACAATTTAGTTAAAGTTGCAGGAAGTAAAGATTTCAAAAAGCCGTGAAGATTTTTACACTTTAAATTTCCCGTCGTAGTCGCCATGCCAGACGTCTACAAAAGTGCCCTCTACTACAATTGATTACTTAAAGAAATATTTCTATGTGTCTTGTGACATGCTATGGATTTCATTTAGCCAAAAATTTCTTCTGAACATTCCTTAAATTTTCTGTTATTTTATTAAGAGTTTCTCTCATGGTTCAGCAGTAGGTTTATGAACTTACAAAGTTAAAATTCGGAATTTGATTTCCTGTGGTGTACAGAGTGCAGATGGCTTATTGTGTAATTGTTCACCAAGAACAACTACAAACTGCAAAAATTCTTAATAAATAAATACTATTTTAATTCATTTTTAAATAAAACATGTCTTTAAGCTTTGTGCATAAAATATTGTTACGTCTCCGTTCGTTAGTTAATTTTCCGTAAATTTCGTTCCGACGAAACTTTAGCGACAAGACTACCCCATATCTAGTAGTCTCCCGACGCTTCATGAACGTTCTAGAAGCGCGTGGCGTGTTACCAGAGTCACGTGACCTCCACTGTCGTAACACTGCCCCCTCCTTAATATTGTTCGTCCCGAACAATAGCCACTTGCATTAAACCAATAACAATTAACAATAACTTAATTAAATGTACAGAATTACAAACACAAAATTACAATTCAACAAACGGGACGTATCTTCTTCCGTACTGGCCTCCGTCTCGTTGGCTTCTGCTTCATGTGGGGTTCATCTGCTTCATCAGAAAATGTTCTATCATCGGTAACAGTCACATCAGTGGTAGTAACTTCATCATGGGCTTCACTGTTTCCCTTCTCAAAACCGAGTAGAAGTTTCTTCTTCGACAGTGGCTTTTTCAGGTGACACGTCTTCAGCAGCGTCATTTGTTCTATTGTTCACTTCGTCCCAACTGAAATGTTCTGGACCTTGATAACGCCAAAGCCTGTTGGCATGCACCACCTTTGGCTTACCTCGCCAACCACATTTTACCCGGAAAGTCACGTCTGAGAGACGATCCACTATGTCATATGGGCCTTCCCATGGAGAAGACAACTTAGGAGACTTCCCTTTGGTCTTCCTGGGATTATACAACCACACCTTGTCTCCTGGTACAAAGCTGACTTCAGTAGATCGCTTATCAAAACATAGCTTCATGGAATCAGCAGACGTTTTCAAGTTTGAACGCACTTGATAGTGAATATCATCCATCCTTTCAGATAACACTTTCACGAATTCTGACACATTTTCAGGCAACTCTTCATAAGGTGGGAATCCTGTTAACAGATCCACTGGCAACCGAAGTTCCCTACCAAACATCAACTTTGCTGGAGTGTATCCAGTGGCTTCACGCATCTTGGCGGCTATTACAAAACTTTGCCAATTCCTGTCCCAGTGTCCAGTTGTACTTTTCTACCATCCCATCAGACTGTGGGTGAAATGGCGTTGTCCTGGTCTTTCGTATGCCAAACAACTTGCAGCATTCATGGAACACAGCTGATTCAAAGTTGCGACCTTGATCTGAATGCTGTTTGTATGGCATACCAAATCTGAAGAAGAAATTACTAATAGCCAAAGCTACTATTGTAGTTCCTGATTTGGTATTGCATATGCCTCAGGCCACTTGGTGAAATAATCCATCACCACACAAATGTACTTGTTTCCAGCACGAGTTTGAGGCAA